GCTTTACTACTGGGTCTTACTCAGTAAAGCACAATCTTTGCAATGTGTAGTCACGGCTCATTAAGAAGGGCCCCAAAGTAGGAAAACACATAGAAATAATTGCATTAATATTCAGCAGCCACAAATGAGGATTGTGTATGAGAGCAATGCAACCTTGTAAGATGGAAGAGAGGGCATGGAAACCTATAAAGGTTGACACAAAGGTCAGTATGCGGTGGGTGGCTCTGTACTCAGGAGATGTTCTGAAGGAAACACTGGAGCTGCGGATATGTTGAACCCGTTGGTTGTGCCTATACAAAGTGACAACCATGGAACAGCTAGACCAAACAATGATGACAGAAAGCAAAATTTCAGGAAGAACAAACAACACTGTATATAATAAGCTTCCAAGGGCATCGTTACCTGAAATGGAGCAGTATTTCATATCACTCTCATGTGCCAAGATGTTCCTGTTCTGCTTAGTATACATATACAAAGGAAAAATCATATTTCCTGACATGTACAGCTTCCAGAAGAGGGAGGTGAGCAGAACAATATGCTTTGGAGCTTTGACTTTAAGGATCAAACCAAAAGAGTTCCCAGGGTTGATTGTGATAGCCTGGAAAACACTCAAGAAGCAGGTGGTGACAATGGACATGCTCCTGCCTAGTCTTTGAATATACAAAAGTAATTCACATCCAAAATGAGTGATGAACCCTTTCATCCCAAAAGCTCTCATTGTATGGAGTAATCCTTTAGAGAGAATGATCAAGATGTTGGCTGTGAACATGTGTGTGAGAATCAAATCTGTGGTCTTTAATGTCTGTTCATTGTAGTAATGGATGAGGTAGCAGGAAAGAACAGAGAAATTCCCCACAATTCCAACTGCACTCTGAAGTAAGAACACTATTCCTATCGTCAAATCATTGAGGTTCATCCTGTCATTTAAAACTTCTTCCCTTAAACAGTTGAAAAAATCACTTCCCTGAGTAAAAAGTTGAATTGAAATCATGAAGTCTGATTATTGGTGTGAGAAATATCATGTGTTCTCAAGACTGAAAAGATACTATGAGCAACAAAAAGGACCTCAACTCACAACAATATATCATGAACAATATTTAAAAAATATTTTGGCAATCAGACTGCTGACATCTTCAAAGTTGCATTTTTACTGAAAGTACTTGCAGAACTTTGCTGTGAATTAACAGTTTTAGAAGCAAGTCCAAGTTGCTGTTGTAAAAACAGTGAGCAGAGAGTGCAAATGGAATGGATGCTGGGTTCTATATTTAAAATGAATTTTTAATTCAAAGTCATCTTGAAGATAAAACAAATTTAAGCTCCCTCTTCAGCAAGAAGGAAACCCATGAATTTCTCAAATTAACAAAAATGAATATGTATCTCCACAACTATGAGCATATTTCTGTTCTTCCATAAGAAAATGCTTTATTATACAGTGAAAACGCAATAACCATAAAGGTTAAGTGTCAGAAGAGAAATTGGCAAAGCAGTATGTATCAAATATTATTGAAAGAGACACAGATATAGGTATGCACACTTTTTCACTCATGTAAAAAGCTGGGGGGTACTGTTTCCTTCATCTGTTTTATTGGGAAGTCATGAATTCTACAGCAATAGCTTGGGGGCCTGCATGGCATCCAACCAGGCTCTCTGCATTGGGGTGCTATGGTTGTATCCTGCGATGTTTGTGGGACATCTGGTAGATGGACTAGGATCTATTCCTGATTCATGAGCTTGCTTTTTGAAGCACATTTTATATGGATGGATGTTTTGCTCAGTCCTGATGAGGATGTGGTTGGGGCCTTGGTCCTGCATCAACTTGATGTGCCAGGCTTTGCTGACTGCCCATGGAAGGCCTTACCCTTTTAGAAGAGTGGATGGGGCAGGTAAGGGGTAGATGGAGGGGAGGGGGGACAATTGTGGAAGGAAACTGTGGTTGCTATGTAAAACGAACAGAAAAAATACTGGGGAGTAGACAGACACAGTAGGTATTTTGTTACAAATTCTTAATAAAGGCACAAGAGAATGAAAGTAATTGAATTACATTAACAGAAGTCAGAAAGAAAATAATCACACTTACTAAGGATTTCTAAACCTGAAGTTGGAAAGAGACTTACAACTGACCTAAGTCATCATAGCCAAAATAATGAAAGCAAAACAAATCATTTCCGAGATTTTTGACTTATTTGGACAGGCTTCCTTCTACCATGTTGGGTTTTAATAGTTTAGCCTTGGATATCAGCAAGATAAGGTTTCTGTTTCTAAGAGTGAGGTTTCTGATTTGAGGTTTGTCGGGCAAAATCCTCAGGTTTACAGGAGCTGTTCAAATTACCATAGCAAATTAGATGATTAAGCGGTGTGCCTCCTTCTTAGGTTCAAAAGTCATCTTATGATTCAGACAAACTAGGTTAATTCCTGTTTATGTTGAAACATACGCTTCTCAAAGATTGGCTTATACCCCACCTACAATCTTAACTAAAACATAGTCATGTGTTGCTTCTTTTAGAAGGTGGTAACTTTGAATTTGTATTGAAAAGTTATATGCATCTCACAAAACCTACTTTAGTTTCAAAATATTCTTATTACTAACTTTTGTTAGGACTACCTGATGACCACTTTGTACTCATGCCTTTGTTTCAGAAGGTCTTTTTGACTTATCCTTGTATTCTGCTTATGTTCTGTCTTTGTAACCCCATGATGTTGCACTGCCTAATACCCCATTTAGAAAGCCCCAGCCCCTGAGCTATAAAAACTTTTAGGACAATTTAGGAGCACTCTGTCTCATCAGGACTGAAGTGCTGCTCCCAGCCAGGCACACCTTGGACATCTGAAGCTCCTTAGCCTTCCCTTCAGTTTGTCATAATGCCTGGAAAAATGGCAGCACCATAAAAAAAGGAAAAGAGCAAGCACCTTCTTTTCTTTTTCATGGAGATTACTCTGGCAGTCATGGGAATGTTCTAACTCTTTGTGAAGCCTGGTTCTGTCTCTGTTCTGGCTCTGGTTCTGTGGAAACAGGATCAGGTAAAATGTGAAAGCATGTCTGATGAGATGAAATATTTCTCCAGTCAGGGAGTCAAGCGAGATACTTCAAGCCCATCTTATGATTTCTGGTGACTTGTGATTTCATTCTGAATGACAAGCTCTTTTTTTGACTTGATCAGTGTCTCTGAGCATGCCTCTGTGTGGTCGGGACCCAAGAAATCATAGAAGCCTTCTATATGAGCAAGCATTGGCAGGATTTCAATGCCTAG